GGACTCTGCTGCCCCCCCACCGTGTGGGCCCAGGACTGGCACAGCAGGTCTATGCAATTTGATCAGAGGGAGATCAGCACACTTCCAGTGGCTGTTCTTCCCTCACCATAACAGCAGACTAGTACAAGTGATCTAGGTGGCTGTACAGCTGCCTAGATCATATGGAGTTGTAGCGGCCGGCCCTGCCCAACGTAATTGGTTGCTAGGAAGCCAGTGGTCCTAGCAACCAATTACTGAAGCGGAGGGAGGGGCTGCAATGGGTTATGGCTGGCAATTGGAAACACCGGCTGGTGTTTCCACTGTCAGCCAGCCAGAACCGCCATTTGGTGATTGCTGCTCTAAACTGAGGAGCAGTAAAAGCTTTTAAAGTGTAGCCTATGGGCAATTGTGGGTATTGTAGTTTTTTGCCATTTCAAGGGCGCAAACAATTTTAAGGCTTGACATGTTTGATATCTATTTACCCGACACGACCCAATCTTTTACATTTTACCAAAAAAATGGGGTCCTCTATTCTCTGTGTGCTTACAAATTCATTTTAGTGTATTTAATCCTAAAAATACTGGTTTGATAAACATTTGTGCAAATAATGTGAGACATAAAAAATTGCAACTAGCATTTTTTGAAATTCTACATGGCCTCTTCTTTCAGAAAACGTATAATTGTTTGGGGTTTTAAGCTGCTTTCTAGCCAAAAATTCAGATCCTATCATGTGTGTGCAAAAATTAAGAAATTGCTCCGGACGAAAAGTGGTTAAAAAACTTAATGTGTATGTTATAACCGGAAGATAATTTAATTGATATCACAATCTGCCATTTACAAATCTGCAGATAGTACTGTATATGAAAATGAAGCTTGTGAGTATGTTTGAAGGGGAAGGTGAGAGAAAAAGCTCTGGAAGAAAAGTAAGACAATTCCAATGTACCCTAGGAAAGGCAAGGAGCGAGTCAGAAAATGTAAAGACGGCTTACCGATCAGCATCTCATACATTATGACTCCTAGTGACCACCAATCACACAATTTATTATAGCCAGTTTGCAAGAATACTTCTGGCGCTATATAATCGGGAGTACCAACAGTAGAAAATGCCTAAAAATATGAAAAAAATAAATACTTGTTAGATCACCTAGAACTATCAAGTTAATCATATTAAGTAGACATTAATGTCTCCAAAAAGTGTTGGGTGGAAGCTGATATGGCACCAGGTATATAACATAATACTTCAAAGTGAAGACAGGCCACTAAGACATTCTTCCATTAATTTCATTCAATTTTGTATCTATGTGTTTTTAAATATTTTGTAAGACTGCTAATAAAAGATAAAATCACGGTCATAGCTACTGTTACAGGCAGAATAGAGCGGACAAACTTGACAGTGGAGGTAAGGGAGAGATTTCCAACATAGCTCATCAGGAAAAAGAAAGGGTGCCTGTGTGCTGAATGGCACCTTAACGCACACAAAATAGGTGCTGTTGGCATTATATCACAGCACAGAGCACGTAATGCATGTTACCGCAGTGTACTGGTGTAACTGGGTCCTTGCATTACACATGCTGCCAATATCGCCTTCACTAATGCTGCCTAGTGTTGGCATTAATGTTCTATGGGGACAATAGGTATCAATTGATCTTGTTGCCCCTGTACAACTATAAATGCAAACAGTTATCTTCCAAGCATTTGTCAAGATGCTCAATAACGATAGTCACTAAGCATTTTGGAGGCCACATGTGCCTTAAAGAAAGGCACATGTGGCTTCCAAGGTATCTAAACTCAACAGCAAAAATTTTACATATTGCAGCTTGCCATTCCTTAAATATGGTGGCTGCATTAGTTTTCTTTATTAGGCTTTTTTTCACTTGGTGATCTGGGCAGTACATTTGTTATTTTTTAACCTCCTTTAACTTCCCAAACTGTCCAGCAAAAGTGTCAGATAGTTGGTTGAGAAATCATTTGACACTGACAGGTGTGCTTACAATGGTCAGCTTTTATTCACTTATTCAAAAAGCTTATCCCAGAAGAAAAAAAAAACTGTTACTGCAACTGCTTATAGCAGACCTTTACCCATATCTGTAAAATAACAGCAATCACACCTTTAGAAATGTTAGCAATGACATTCTTCAAACACATACTTCTAGATAATTGCTGGCTTTGTATTCTTTGCATATCTTATTTCTCTTTTCTTCCCCAGTCAGTGGCCATGTTTACTGAGGGCAGGTTACTAGATCTTCATTTACTTCGTGAAAATGTGGCACATGTGACTAGACATGTGACCATGCACATCATCTCAGGGGAGGAAAATGCCTTTCCAGATGAGATTCCCAGCAATGCTCTGCTGATGACAAATCAATCTCAGTGTGCATTGCTTTGGCAAACTGAAGTAATTTGCACTTTCAAATCAGGAAATGAATGCTCTGCATGTTTAAGTATTTCAAAATCACAGCATTTTACACCTGACATGTCTGTTATTATTAATCATCATACATAGGAGGGATGCATTGGTAGAATTTGATTTTTGAGTGTAAAGGTCAGCTTTAAGAAGTGTTAGTTGGAGTTCAGATTTCATTTCTAAGCCAAGTCCCTCTTAATCTGCTAGTGCATCTAACACTACCCTCTCCACAGGTTGACAATGTTGCTGTCCAAGGTTGGTTCCATTGCTCCTCCATAGAGTGGAGCCACCCTAAGACAGGAAGTGTGTTACTGGCTGGATCACAAGGTGACAAAAAAGGGAAAAAAAAGAAAACAAATGCAGCTACACATTTCAGTACTGGTAAGCTGCATTATATTAAAGGTTTGTGAAATCACATTAAAATGTATCAAAATTGAACATACCAATTGTCGTCTATTTCTCTTCCATGTTTCTGCTTTTCTCTTTGAATTCATATTTTGAAAATCTGCAATGAAATAATATAAAATAATAATAAATAAGTGAAAAGAACGAGAATAGCAAAATATGTGAAAAGAACGCTACCAAATGTTAATATTAAAGAGAACACAGAAATGATAACTTAAAATATGTGCTTACTGATGCGATGGAGGAAAAAACTGAAAGTGCCGGACCCCATGCAAGTCTATGGGGAAACTGATGTAAACGGACATGGAGATGACCTCTGGTCCGGCACGATCCGGTCCTTCAAAACGGATCAATGATCTGTCTGTTTTACTGGACTGAGCCGGAGCTAACTGGGTGTAAACGGACGTCCGTTTAAACCTGCATATAGTGTGCGATAGGGTCCGGCTGAAAAACTGACAAGACGGACCCGATTGGACAGCTCATTTGAAAGGGGCCTTAGAGTGGTGTAAATTACAAACAAGAAAAATCATGAAAACACATTTAGTAAAGTAACAAAGTTATGTTTTAAATAGGTAACTTTCTTTAGATACACTCTGCTTGAAAGAAAACAAAACTTTAAAAAAGTTGGTAAAAAAAAAGTAGGAAGATAAAGTGGCTCTGCTAGGTAAAGCAATTCTAGTTGAAAAAGCAAATCTGTTAAAATAAATAGAAAACTACTAATGGGATTGTTGCAATTAAAATGTCACATTACTACCTACAAGAAAAAACATTACTTACTGAAGTCATTTGGCAGGCTGTGGTTCAGATTTCTGTAATAATCAGTCCGATGAGCCTTCTTAAGTCCTGTACATAATCCAAAGTCTGACAGCTTTACGTGTCCCTTAAATAAATATAATAAAATATATACACATGATTTAGAAGAACAAACTGTAAGTACTGTACACGGTATTTACTCAGAAGGTAAAAAAAAAAAAAGAAACTGGCAACAAGAATAAAATATATTACTTCTGGCAGAGAGTTCAAAACAAAAAAAGCAACTAGACAGAAATGTAATGAAAATAGTCTTCAAGAGGAGTAAAGTGTTGCACATGTCATACATTAAATAGGATATAGCTGAAGGTGCTAAAGGACTGGCAAATCCCAGTAACTTTGGAATTTCAAAAGCATGCACCACAAGGAATTAGCCAGAAAACCACCCTCCTCTTGCGATAAAGGAGAAAAATGAGAAACTGAAATTACTGGACCCCATGATGGTCTATAGGGGAATCCCGAAATCTGACTTGGTCAGGTCTGTCGAAGCGAAACATTGTTCTGTTTGTTTTACCGGACCTGGCCCGATTCAAGAGTAACCGGGTGTAAACAGGCACCCATCTGTTTACACACCGCTGCACATAGACTAACATTGGGCATCCGCCTGTGTAAAATATTCTAAAAATTAGCTACAAAATGCTTGCCCAACTTCTAAATGTGTATGAATTTGGGTACTGTGTATGTATGTATGTTTTCATTTTTTTAAACCTGCTCAGCATCAAGGGAGACAACATTTATAAAAGAGCCTTATTTTATTTTAACTTGATAAGAATCTGGCTATTCCGGTGCAAATGCAACAGAAAATATCATATGCAATTTGGTTAAATAGGACCTATTCTGTATATGTCACAGTGAGAAAAATCCAGGACTCTATAATATATAATTACTTTGCTATCCAGTAAGAGGTTATCTGGTTTGATATCCCGGTGTATAAAACCAAGCTGATGGATCGAATCAATTGCAAGTACAGTTTCAGCAATGTAAAATTGGGTTTCCTCTTCAGTCAGGGTATCTTTTTTCATCAGCAAGGTCATCATATCACCTATCATGGGCACAAAGGGCACAATTAACATAAGGCTATAACATTTATAAAAGGCTACATCAAATCATTATGTCAGAGAACACACATCTCACATTTGTTATGTCATCAAAGTTTTAATTTGGATTTTTTTTAATAGCTCATATTCAAGTAGTGAGTATGTACAATTCATGAGCATGTACAATTGTGACTCTTAGGTGTGGGAGGGTTTAAACCTCAGTAGGTTTTATTGCCATCTAGGTACCCACTTGCAAGCTGTCCCAATGACCCTTCACTTCCTGTCCTCTTGGTCACACAGAAAGTAAAAATAACCTCCTCTGAAGGACACAGACAGCAAAACCCTAACAGAGGTTCTAACTCTTTCCAACTCTACTAAATAAAACGGCTTTTATAGCCGTCTCTGTCCACACTGGAGCAATCGTTTCACTATAAATCTTTCAAGCTGGGACAAAGATGGGAATATACCCTTAACAGAGGTCCTAGGATTTTCTTATTTGACCCAAAACTTTAAGAAAAATCTGTCTGATATTGGCCTTTACATTATATTACATTTTTCTACTTGTTTAAAGATCCTTTACAACATCTAGCGGCCATTTGTATGCAGAAGACTTGGCTGGACAAAATTGCATTATTTTTTTAATTATTTACGACGATTAAGTAACCAAAGTACCTCCGGGTAGGAACTCCATGATCAGGTAGAGGTTCCGCTTGTCCTGAAAGCTATAAAACATTTTTACAACCCACAGGCTGTCTGCTTCTACCAAAATATCTCTTTCTGCACGAATGTGTCCAACCTAGGAAAACAAAAAAACAAAAAAACAAAAAACAGTTACTGAAAATTATTTGTTGATAAAATGACAGATCACAAACTAGTTCAATTTGTCTTCCATACTCAATAAGGCAGTGCAAAGACTAAAGCTGAGGGGTAAATTGCAGTAACTCTTAGCAACCAACCTGTTTACTAATAAATATTGCTCTTTTCATTACTTAACCCCTTAGCGAACCAGTGGCGTACATAGTACGTCACTGGCAATGGGGCCGTTTAAACAGACTCCTGGCTGACTGTGGGCATTACAATAGAAGTGATTCTGGCAACCAGCTGTCGCCAGATCGCTTCTACAGATTGGTAAACTGCCTCCCCCCTCCGCACGACACCCCCGCCGTGTTTCCCCGGCTCCGCTGCATCTCATGCAGGCCCAGGACCGGCATCTCGGGTGTCGGCGGGAATCTGGGGAGGAGAGTGGCGAACTCCCGTTCACCGATCTCTAGGGCTGCAACAACTAATCGACATAATCGATTGAAAAAGTTGTCAACTTTCAATCATCGATTAATCGGCTTCCGATTGGTTGGCCCTGTTCACGGCTCCACACACGCTGCGCGACACACCTCCCCACCTCACGCTAATACCGATCTTCCTGTTCTATGGGATCGGGAGTGACACGTATTGCATCACTTCCGGTCCCATAGCTGTCATTGCTGGGCTCCTGAAGCCCAGCAATAAGCTATTAAAGTGCGATCTGCACTTCAATAGTTTAGAGTGTAAAGGTGATACTAGGGGTCTTTAGGACCCCCAGTATCACCTTAAAGAGTACCTGTCACCAATCTGCTATCACATGAGGGGTTTGTAAGCACCCCTGTGTGATAGCAATTAATGTAAAGAGAAAAAAAACCCCACAGTTTAAAACTATAATATCAGTTTAACAATAACAATACATATCAAATTAAATAAATGTAAAAAAAATAAAACATTTTTATAAAGTCCCCCACGAGAATGCGCATCATAACGTAAATACGTCGGGTGCGCCTACGTACAAAAGCGATGATAGCGCTACACCTTTTGTATTGCCGCGCTTGTCAGAGTGAGAGCAATAATTCTAGGGTCAATATTTATGCGTATCTCAAAACTGATGACCTGAAGGGGCTTTTAAAGCGTCTATGGACTTTTTGGGGTACTGAATTTTGTCGCACACAATTTTTAACCTGGGCATGTTGGGTATCCATTTACACATTGTAACCTCATTCTTTAGATTTTCTAAAACAAATGGGTATTTAATTGTGTATTGGGGCACTAAATGTAACTTAAGTGCATTTTTCACTAATCTTTTGAGTTTGATAATAAGTTGCGCTAATATCGTGGAGCAGAAACATTTGCAACTGTCTCCATTTTATTCTACAAGGTCTTGGCTTTCAGAAAATATATTATGTGTGGGGGATGAAGTAATTTTCAGGCCTAAAATGTGGATTAAAACATGGGTGCAAAAAACAAAAGGAAACAAAAGGTCACGGTAATTAAGAGGTTAAACTAGAATACAAAAATAACAGTTATGCTGCTGAATGTAAATTGGTGTCATTTACTGATTTTAACCATTGTATTTCCCAACAGTAAGTGCATCACGACTCCTCAGCAGATTATCTATAACAACCCTAATGTCTAACTTATTCCCAACAGTGAGTGCATCACTGACTCACTAGTGGATTCTCTATAAAAAAAAAAACCCCACTACCCCACCCTTCCCTGGGTCCTTAGCTAATAAGAAAGTCAGGGAACATGCTCTTTCACACGTGCGTTGAGAATTTAGCGCACGATCAACGCTCATTAACGCGCCTATAGCGTTAACAAGGCATACAGCAGGTGTTTGCAAGGAATTCACGAGGGACTCCGCGAAGAGTTAAAAAAAAAAAGTATGTGGAGTTCCCTTCAAAAGTCATACCAAACCCCAAAAAAGGTATCCCTTTAATTAATGGGCACCCAGATGCCGCTCCCCCCCTTGCTTTCAGAAAATATATCATTGTTTGGGGGTTAAAAGTAATTTTAAATAGAAAACTTTAGATTTTAAAAAGGCTGTGTGAAAAAGAAAAAAATTACTCTGGACCTGAAGTGGTTAAGACTTAAATCCTATAGTTTTAATAGACAAAAATCATATGGTTACCTGTTCTTTCTCCAGCATGTCTGCCTTCCGCAAAATTTTCATCGCATATACATGGCCAGTATCTTTCTTTTGAACTAACCGAACCTACAGAAACATAAAAGGGATTATTGTTTTGAGCATTATACACCTACACCCAAGGTTAGAGAAAGTTTCTAACCCTTCCCTACTGCATTTAAAGACCGAGATTGTCCCCCATGCCCATGTTCCCCTCACTTCCTGCATGATGAGCACATAGGAAGTCAAGATATATTCTTACCAATGAGGACTCAGACAACAAAAAAAAGCCAAAAGAGATTTCAACTTTCCCCACTCTGTCGGAAAAAATAAAAAAAATGCCTTGCTACAGCGGTTTAAGATGTTAAGCAATTAAAATCCTGCTTTGGATGTAAGAGGGGGGAAAAGGGGAATATCCCTGATGGGTTCAATAGGCAATTTATGAAGAGGCCAAAGAACCAAATTCAGATCCCAGAGAGCCACTGATTATTGTACAGGTTTGGCTATATAAGAAACACCGTAAACAAAGAATAAAAGAATGAGAGGCAAACTGTCTGAAACAGGATAGAATAAAATGGTATTGAGGGCCAAATGCTGATCCAGTTCAGAGTTTAAAAAAACAAAAACAAAAAAAACACCCACAGATTTCTTCCTGTGGAGTACCAGGTAAAGTATGTCTTCCACGTGTATAATGGTAGAATTTGCAAGAGGTAGACTTCTTAGTTTTCAGAAGCATAGAAATCATCAAATCAGAAAGGTCTTTACCTAACCTTCGACAGAGAAGCTGCCAAAGCTAGTGAATCAGTCTGTGGGAAAGAAGAGTCCACGGGGTGCCTGCCAGGAGTCTGATGAGGTCTGAGCAAATTTGGTGAGAAAACCATTAGAATGCCCTCTCCATCTCAAAGCTGTGGAGCAGATAAAGGAGTTACGGCACGGAGCTTTGCGTGTAGTGTGTTAGCTGAGTGCAGGCAGATGATTGACTGCACCTTCAGCCAATCGGCTCGTGCGTAACAACCAGCCAGACGTCACATGCTGGCGCGCGGGTTTATATTTACATTTTTCATCTTGGCACGCTCAGCTACGTGAGCTCTCGCAAGCTGACGTGCCGAGGAGAAAATGACATGGCACACTGCTCGTGAAGGCAGCGCGCCACCGCTCTGCGCTGCTTTGCATGCAGTGTGTCACAGCCTTAAAGTAGAACTATGGGGTTAAGGCTTTTCCCCATAGTTCTCCTTAGGGTAACGGGAGGACACAAACTAGCATCCTCCCATCACCCTAAGCTCAGTATACCGCGAGCTACAGCTCGCGGTATACTGAGACGCCGCAGTATACAGCGAGCTACAGCTCGTGGTATACTAAGACGCCGCAGCTGAACCGGATCCCGACAATTATGTCTGGATCCGCCCAGCTGCGTGAGCGACAGCTGGCTCTGCCTATCTAGAGGCAGAACCAGCTGTACCCGCCCCCTCCGCCAGTCAGCGCTGGAGGATCGGAGCGGGGAGGGGGGTATCCAGTCCCTCTCCTGTCACGGCAGAGAGCCGTGACAGGATCGAGAAGTGAGCGAATGCCGCTATGTGTTCGCTCACCTCCCGATCTACTGAGCCGACCTGTGACAGTCTCATTGTCACAGGCCGGCTAGAACTATGAGGTGAGTGAAAGGCACTCACCTCACAGTTCTCCTTTAACAGAACAGCAAAAGGCATAGATCAGGTTGTACTGATACAACAGAGCCACTACAGCATCCGCCACTATCTCCCGAAGATGTGTTCATGTGAAAAAAATAATTGCTCAGTTTGTTGTTAAACCTGAAGAGCAGGAGCTCCACATCTGTGTCCACCATCTGCAACAGAGGTCCTGAAACAGCTCCAGGTGAAGAGACTATTTTCCCAGGTTAAGACGTTGCAGACTGAGGTAGTCTGCATGCCAACTGTCAGAGCTCAAAGGCTGGACAACTGAAAATGCTGAAATGTGAGGCTCTGCTCAAGGCAGAATTTTTTGATGGTTTATGTATACCACTGCTAAGGCATTGTCCAGCTGAATCTCAATTGGATGGCCCGGTAGCCAAGAAGTGCAGGACTGAAAGGAACAACCATATTGCTCAGAGCTACCATATGTTGACTGGAAGACTAACTTGTTCTGGTGACCAGGACTCCTTCCCAGCTTGTCAGGCTGACCTGTGTCATAAGAATCTTCCAGGATATTGAAAGGAAATATTTCACTGATTCCAGCAAAACGCATGGGAAGGGTTATACCGGACTGGCTAACAGCTTCTTTTTTTTTGTTTGCCAGAGTCCTATTCCAATTACTTCTGATCTTCTGTGTCAGAATGAATAAGAAAGAAAGTTTTGGCCTTGGAACGAATGGGGAAGTGTCAGAACCTAGGATATACGCACATTACAAATTCTACATAATTTCTGGTGACCTATACCAACTGAGACATGAAGTGAGAGGTACTGTCCCAACAGAAACACAAACAACAATACAAACTTTTTTAACAGAGTTTGTAAGGATGAAGCATCTAGGTCTTACCTCCCCAAAAGCGCCTCTTCCAATTACTTTCAAAGACTCGAAATCTTCTAACCCCAACCGCGTCCTTTTTAGTCGAAGAAATTCGGTTTCTTTTTGGGCATGTGCCGATCTCCTCATCTTTTTCTGTATTTGGGATAAAAATATATCAATATGCAAACCTTTATTTTTTAAGGGGGGCCAATAAGGCAGCAACAGAATTGAACTATCAAATCTAAACTTTCAGCAAAGAGGACTTTCGAACTTCTTACATTTTGTCCAACTAGAATCTGGTGCACTGTAAAAACAACTGCTAAATAGGAAAGTGCTTGTCAACTAGTAATCATCTTTTGATAGAATGCAAACTGATAGATTGCTATACATTACTGAACTTTACGAATCCCTATTGCTGTAGACTGTGAGTGACAACACATTTACAACCGGTTTAACTTTGGGGAAAAGATGTTAAACCATAGCCATTTAAATTGCATATTATCCAAGTACATTTTTGTTGCATAAAAAGCAATCAGCAATACCCAAAAATGTACCTGGAGAACTTCTACAAATGTATTTGAGGTTCGCCTTTGTTGCTCTGAAATCCCAAGCAGTGTTATCTGTCCTGACGATTCTCCAATGATGGACTACATACAAACCCCCGCCCCATTCAACTTCATAACGAGGGGGAAATGGAGGTGTTCTGTAGGCCAGGAGAGGAGACTCAGGCAGGGTTGAAAACACTGCTCAGTATTTCAGTGCAGTTAGAGCACTGGCTGGCAGCTCAAACAGGAAGTCAAGAATACACTGGATTTCTGGCAGATTGTTCTGTACTTGCAGTATTTTTTTTTTTAGTACTTGCAGTATTTTTTTTTTAAAGATAAATGGGGAAATGTGATTGTACAGGAGAGAAGTCGTGCATGTATTTTTTTTTATTTATTCATTTTGCCCAGAAATACACTTTTAGAAAAGTTATCAATGTATGTTGTCTAACAGCTGCATCCAGGGGTCAAAAATAAAATGTCAAAAGTTATAAAAGCAATAAACTGTTCTATTTTCCTCTCACAACTGGAACATGAAAATTCAAGTAACTGCACTGGAGTTCTACCACAATAAAAGGAGGTTCAAATGGTCTTTATCTTTTGACGTAAAACAAATTTCATATATTTTACATTCCAGCAGTCAAGGGTTAACTGTATGGACCAAATTTTTGAAAACGTCAGATAAAAACCTGCCAAACACAATCTGGGGCCCTGACCATTGGGAACATCAAGGAGCCCTTGGAATTAAGATATACTAGCTAAATTTTAAAAGGGTAAGTATAGTGCTTTGTGTAGAACAAAATGATATAATATTGTATGTTAATATTTTGCATATGTATTTTGGAGCTATCAGGTGGATCTTTAAATATCTTTATGTGTCTATCTTTTGCCCTTCACAGGGCTCTTAAAGTAAAAGTGTACTCTGAAAAAAGAAAAAAAAAAAAGGTGAAGGATGGAAAATTTTTCTCAAACGAGCGGAATTCTAACTGTGAATGCGGTTTTTATTCAGCAAACTCTATTGATTCCATATTTGAATGTTAGAATTAAACGAAATTTCAACCGACAATTGTCTGATGGCATTATCGGGTTGTAAAGACGTTCATTCGGAAATCTATTGGTGCGGGAGTTACATTATGCCGGCTGGCCAATCAAGAGGCTAAAGACACCAAACCCAGAAGACCAGGTGAAAATGGCACTGCCAGCGACGGAGGTGGGAGCGGACAGTGCGGCACTGGAGGGGATCGTTTTACACGCTAAATTGCTCATGCTGTGCTAATATACTGTGCATTTCAGCACATTATGACAATTTTTATCACATAATGGCTAATCACCACTGCACCAATTAAAAAAGCCAGGGAGAAGATCTGAAGGATGGTGCTGAAGTGGGTTTAATAGACGGTAACAGGGAAGCAGAGAACTTTCTTGTCATTCCTGTACATAAGTAAATCAGCTAATAATCATGCCAAAGATAGATTGATCATGCATTCCTCCCAGTCACTTCATTTATTCTATATTAATTTACATATTTTCATAACAGAGCTTAACTATTTATATTTCTAACTGCTGCCACTAAGATGTCTGCTCTTCTTAGTGCTCCTGGAAACGCCGTTTGAGTGAACTGAGCAAGGATTGAGGCTTAGGGGAGCAGAGGGTCATAACTGGTCAGTGTCCTGAACTCCTAGGTAGCTAGGAGCTGCAGGAAATGTATCAGTAAATCTAAAAACAGGGGGGTAAAGAAAGACGCAGAACAGCAGACAGCAATTCTGCTCCACCGAAGCCTCATAAATCGGTCAGTCTGCAGAGCTCCAAGCAGAAGCTGAAGGCTGCTGATCACTGGGGATTAACATTTAGGGGAACAGAGAGGCAAAGCACAGCAGACATCAAGTGGATCATTGCATTGGAGGCTTAAAGGGGCAGACTAAGGTGGAGATAGGTGACGTTAAATCTATAATCAGCGAAGATCTCCCTGCTCCAATCACCACGTCACAGCTGCCTAAATAGAACTACTGGCTGGGTGGAGGGTGAGAAGAAGACCTTCCATATAATACGACAGCAGGCTGACGTTACAGGCCTCCCCAACAGGGGGGAAAAAACAACACATTTTTTTAACAACATATATAAGGCTAAAATAAAATTGACCTCAAACCTTTCTAGTTACCCTTTATAAAGAACAGATCAGAAAGCAGCAGTAAGAAAAACTGCTTACACTAAAATTAAGCAAGATTTTGTGACAAAGTGCAGATCAGTGTGAAGACCACGAACAGTGCAAAGAGTTTGAAAGTTTACATGAAGCCAAAGAAAGCATTTAGGGGGAGGAAATTCAAGAGTGCATATTATTATTATTATTATTATACAGGATTTATATAGCGCCAACAGTTTGCGCAGCGCTTTACAATATAAAGAAGACATTACAATCACAAGACAAAACAGTAAGGAGGGCCCTGCCCCTGAGGGCATAGAGGTAGATGTCTGAGCCCAACCTCTATTGATCCTATTGAAGCAAAATGACCCGATCATCATTCAAACACAGTTCATGCCTCAGTGAACAATGACAAAGATGATGAAATGGCCACAAAGTCAGAGATATTGCACAGAGTGAAGAATGTTCAAGGGTGGATGGAGGTAGATGTGCCCAACGTTTAATCATCTTATTGAAGTGGAGATACTCCAGAACACCATCTAAACATTGATGCTTCAGAAAATGACAATAAAAGAGTTAAGATGTAGAAGCCATGTATTAGCCTGCAGTCTCTTCCTGGACCACAAAAACATCCCAATGTATCCCTATGGGCTCTGTGCAGTCCCTTCCGGTCCAGACCAAAAAAATACTGCTCGTCTCATTTTCTTTGGCCTGGGATGCACTGGAACACACCTAAAGGCCAATTTCAGCAAAACAAAAAAACAGCTCCAAAACGCGGCAAAATCACACGAAAAACGCAATGCAATGCGTTCCAGATCTGGTATGGAAAATGGTGTGAACCTGGCCTGAGGGCTTGTTCACACCATGTCCCGACCAGATCTGGAGCAGATCTGCAAACGCTGTGCAGCGCATTTTTGCCACATTTTTACCAAGATTTTTTTTAGCTTAAAATGTCCTTTAAGGTGCAGTAAAGTGCATTTGCATGCGTTTGTATGGGGTTTTGATGCGGCTAGAAATGGCTCTCAGGCTGGCTTCCCACGACTTTCAGGACCAGATCTGGAACGCAGTGCAACGTTTTTGCAGCGATTTTGCCGCGTTCCGGAGCAGGTTTTTTTTTTAGCTTAAAATGGGCTTTTGATGCTGTTGATGCATTTCTATGCCTTACAGTGTATTCTAGACCAGACAAAATGAGACATGCGGTATTTTTCTGGTCTGGTCTGGAACGGACTGCACTGGTGTGAACAGAGGTCAGAAATAGCATACGGATACATTAGGATGCATTTTAGGTCCGGAAACAATCTGGTCCCTGGTCTGGTGATGATCTGGATGTGGTGTGAAGGGGCCCTCAAAGCTGCTGGTACTGTGTCAAATCTGACTCAGCAGATCTATTCAAATGCTGGAGAGATAATGTAAGATAGCTCAGCAGCTTCACGTCTAATACATTGTAATAGACATGATGATGTCACAGATTAGATCACCGGAGCCCAAGGGAGAAGAGGATGCAGGGACCAAGGATCAGGTGAGTATATCTTCCTTATTTTTGGTCCCTAGACAAAACAAGCAGTTAACCCTTACAGCGCAGAGGTAGCCCCACTGCAAGGCTTAACTTTTCAAAATTCCTGGAGTTGCTTTTTAAGTACCAAGTCTGCCCATGTAAGCTTCCCTTATACACAAGACCCTGAGATTTTAAACAGGGGCATGTCTTAACTGTGTTTGCCTTAACTTTGGCAGCTTCCATCAGAGGGTATTTAACTTTGCAAGTGATTTTTAAGAATTTCTACTTTTTCTGTCAACCAATACAAGGAACAGACGGGCATATCTTTTTTTTCTAGTTCAGCAGTGTGCACGTTACCAAGATTTTATCAGAACCAAGTGAAGGAGATACAGTCATTTGATCCAGAGATGTTTATTTATAATTAATTCAAGTAATTACTGTAGGTATATCATTTTCTTTACCTCTTCATCCCGGAGGCCTTCTTCCTCCATCACTTTTTCCAGCCTCTTCTGTCTAAAAACAGAAAGGAGAAATCGGAGACATGAATATTAGCGGTTACTGTGCACTGGTGTTCTCTTCATTTTCACTATGCCATTAATGCTTCTTTTGCAGCTAGGTCAGCTTTTCTTCAGTGATCAGATAAAGGAGTTAACACAGTAAAGCACACACACACAAGATGCTAATAAAAATAACCTTTGACTTGCTACCCAGTCCAGCTAACTTCACAAAATATTACTACATACAGTTTAAGATTAATGCATTAAAAGTGTTATGTGTAGAGAAGGACAAGTGAAGTGTCAATAAAGTAGGAGGCTCTTGATTGGCTGTAACAATTACTGCATCAAAAAGAAGGTAACAAAGAAAATAGTTTTTTTGTACTTAGTGTAAAATCCTTTTCTTGGAAGTGTCACCTTTACACTAGAAATGAGCTATTGAAGTGCAGATCGCACTTCAATAGCTTATAGCTGGGCTGCAGGAGCCCAGAACTGACAGCCCAGGGACCGGAAGTGATGCAATCTGCATCGCTCCCGGTCCCATAGAACGGGGAGGGGATCGATGAACGGAAGTTCGTCGACCTCCTCCCCAGCTCCCCGCGGACACAAAGATCGCCGGTCCCGGGCCCGTAGGAGGGGCAACGGAGCCCGGGAAGCACGGCGGGGGTGTCCGGCGGGGGGGGGGGCGGCCCCTTCTTCGGGACGCAGAAGCGATCTGGCGACAGGTAAGTCGCCAGGATCGCTTCTGTTGTAAAGCCGACAGTCGGCTCTACAAGTTTAAACAGACTCCCGGCGGCAAAAGTCGCCGGGAGTCTGTTTAAACAGCCCCGATGCTGGCGACGTACACTGTACGTCGTCAGTCACGAAGGGGTTAAGATCCAAGTCCTAACTTTGAACTAAGCCCCCTACCAGATAGGGGAGCCACCAGCATGACCAGAGGAAGAACATGGAGAATCTATTTGCTGGTGACCTAAATAGCAAGTCACCACCAAAAGGGCATAACTCTACACAGAAGGGAACATTCAATCTGAACCAACAGGGAGGTAATAAATCCCTGAATTCAAGGGAAGGACCCGCAACCTAACGTGGTCAGCCAAAACCCCTGAGAACTCCTAAAAGGAACAGATTTCAAGAAGGAACCTGGGCTGGGGAGGAAGGAACGGAAATTAAACCTTAGCCCAGAATGCCAAGATAGGAACCACCAAAAGAGCTAAGGATGAAACTAATGAATCCTCTTTGACACACCAGAGGTGCTGCTGGGACCCTGTAGAACAATACCTAGCAGATGAGGTTAGTGCTCAGACCCGAAGTAACCCTTTCTGTGTAGGCAGAAGTGGGAACAATGAAATGTGCCCAGCAGTGCAAAAAGCAAGGTAGTTCCTGGTGCTTTAGCCCTAACAACCTTACTTACAGAGTATGTGTTCAGAGGGGTCAAGTGCTGAGGCAATGCCACACCTCTGGACCTAGAAAAAAAAAAAACTCCAGGGCTAACCTTTAACTGTACAGGAAGGTCTGGAAAGTGCCATAACATAAAGCCCAATGCCCACCCAGTGTAACACTGCTTTTATGCGTGTAATTTTCTTTTAATAAATCATGCTTTGTTTGGATGGTACGCACTATGGTGTTTGCTTTCTTTTTTGGATAACCCGATCCTGGTATTGACATCCTATACTGAGGAGACCTACAAATCAATAAAGATTGGAGGTTATTGTTTCCACACGAAAGAACCGATAAGCAGATCTGCCTGATGGTCTAAATACAATCTTGGAAGACATCTGTGAGCGATTGGAGCTGAGGGCCCCCTCCCCTGATTAAGAAGGGAATTGCCTGATTTTACCTTTTGTTGGGGTCTATCAATAAGGTGAGCACCCCTATACCTGGTGTGGTGCATTTGGTGAAGGAACAAGAAATATTAATCACTATTGCTATATATGGACATTTTCAGAGTTATGGACATTTATAAACTTCACACCTGATCCATTTTTTTTTTAATTTACTGACAATTGTTTGAGTCACTGATTATTGTTTTTTGTATTGCTTATTGTTGTAGCTCGGCACATTGTTATTTATTTTTCACATATACACACTTACAGTGGGTGTACATTCTAGTAACTTGTAGCTGTTAGTTTGCTTATTGGTGCAGTTCATTTTTATATATATATATTATTGATATATTACATGAATATACAAATAATATATATATATATATAATACCAGCCAGTAATGTGTGATACAACAAACTTTTTAATTGCTTGCTGTTTCTTAGAGGGTTATTCACAAAAGGGTGAAGAGTTTGGAGAAGGCAGGAGAAATGAACAATCTAGGACAGCATAGCTGAAATGGAAAGTGTGCTGCATTGGAGAATTGACTGAATTACCTGTGTGGCTATAAATGCTAAGGTATGTTCTTGGCACGTATTAGAACCGAGAACATGTGGATGAGTGGCAAAACACCACAGAACAATCCAGTTTAGTGTGACTTAACTAGTAATAGCTATACTATGACCTGAAGAAAACAAAAACCTACACGGATAATCTAAATCACTACTCATTGTTATCTTGCAGCCTCCAGGTTGATAACACACTTATGTAACAAAGGTGATGTTAGGATTACATAAGAGGAAAGGCTTTGTGAACTGATAGTTTTAGCCACAGCCAGCAACCCACAGAGAGTCATTTATGTAGACTAGACCAACAGTATGACTGGAGACAAGCCAGTCTGCATGGGGATGTACACACTAATTTCTGAAGGGTAAGGATGCTCCATTATAACAACTTTAGGAAAGATATTCTTACAATTGCCTATTGTAAGTTCCACGATTCTCTTTAAGACAATTATCAAATGCAAAATGGACATGACGTCTTTGGTTTAGATACCGAAGTGTATAACTTGCAAAATCCCAGGGACAATGAGCTGGATCAAAACGTCATTGCTTGACACTATCTCTAAAAGTGTTGTCAACAATGTGAAGAGCAAAATAGAAGAGTAAAAAAACAAGAAGAGAACAGATTAGAAGCAAAAACGAATTTTTCGTTCCTACGACTAGGTCATTAAGCGAATTGGTCACTAATTGCTGTAATATACAGTACATGACTTAGGTTTGCATACCGCAAATACCAATGTACAGTACAGTAGTGAATACTGACTGACTAACTGCGGGACCGAGGCGTAGATGTGAGATGAGCTTGACCCAAGTTCTCGTACAGTGTACAATACCAACTGGTTGGAGAGCTGGTTGTAAGTCCGAGCAGTTGTTACAACAGGTAGGTTGTTAAGTGAGGAGTAGCTGTATATAGCAAATCTGGGCTGGAGAAAGGCAAGAAGTGTCAGAAAAGAGCCACGTGCAACTTTTCTGATGTTTCTCCAGCTACAGATATCGTCAAAATTATATGAGCTGAAAATCTATGTCTGCCAGACTATTGCTCCATGTTGTTCTATTAATTTGGGAGGCTGGTTCCAAGACACCTTTAATTCTACAGCAAAAAAAAAAATAAAATCAGGTTTGAGATAACATTCATAACAGAGATATAGAACCACCTTAGCTCTCGTTCCTCATGCTGTGCGATGAGGTTACTGTAGAAGTTTTCCAGAGTCATCTTTGTCATGGTGACACGTTCCTTTGTGTGGTTGCTCATTGGAAAGCATGGTGTTTGTTCAGTCATCGCCATTGCTACTGTAAGAAAAAAAAAGTCAAATGTTAAAATTCACAAAGCATCTAAGTAATTACATGATGTACAAGAAAGAATTTTTAGCATGGTCTGCACAAAAACAAATCTGTTTGAGGCTCCATTCACCCCTGCGTGTTTGGAATTTAATGTGTTTTTTTGCACAGTCAGATGCATGGACAGAAATACGCAGTGTTTAATAGACGGTTGTTCTTCCGCATGTTTGTTCTTCCGCACGTTTGTGGCTAGAATCAGTGTCAAAATGCGCGGCAAATGCCCAGAAAATTGTGCGTGTACTTTTTTGCCTTGTTCCACATTTTTGTACGCGCTGGTGTGAACTAGCCCCATAGGAATGTATTGATTTTTGTAGGTTTCCGCTCAGGTCTGAACCAGGCCTTACTGCAACAAGAAAACGATTCAAAGCAAAACTGTGATTTGCTCTAGCTGGGAAAACCAACAGGTTTGTTTTAAAACCAGATCCGCTAGTAGGGCCTACTTACCATTTTTTGCTCCCTGCTCCATCATTTAACCATTAGGAGCAATGGAAATACCTATTAATTCCAGTTTGGAGCAGCAAGTGACAGAACTGGTGTTTTGGTGATTATGCCAGCCTTATAACATGGACACAGGTAGATAGTCAACCCTGTGTAAGCTCCAGCTAGAAATCATACTTTACCTTACAAAGGCATGTTTTTCCTCGCAGTTAAATGGAGTAGCATAGGAGCACAGTAAGGTAAATATATGCTGCTGGGAAATGGGTACATAAAGTGAATCTGTTACTAAAAAAACAACAGGTTATCTTCATACACTCCCTTGTTATCTCTCGTCTTGACTATTGTAACTCCCTCCTCATCACAACTCTGCCCCCGGGCTATATCTCAATCCTTGTCTCAAAATATCACCCTAAGGACCCATTCACATTGAGCGGTTCGCAAATCGCACGTTTGTTGCGCGATTTGCATTTTGCGCGATATCGCGCAAATGCTTGCATTGAGCAAGCTTGAATCGCGGCTAAATCCGCTCCAAAAAGGATCCTGCTGTAGCGACACACGACCCGCGACAGCAGGACCCTTTGCCCCATTGAGAAGCATTGGAGAGCAATATCGCGTGGTAAAATGCCGCGATATCGCGGGAATTACCGCACGATAAATCGCTCAATGTGAACGGGGCCTAACCGTCCACTCCGCTCTTCCCTAGACCGCCTGCTTTCCAGCTCCCTAGTCATCTCCTCCCATCCTCGCCTCCAGGACTTCTCTAGAGTCTCTCCCATCCTCTGGAACTCTTTACCCCAACCTATCCGTCTATCTCCCATCTTGACTGCCTTTAGGCGTTCCCTAAAGACTCATCTCTTCAGGGAAGCCTATTCCACCTCAACCTAACCACTGAACCATCACATTCTCAAATAATGAATCCCCACACAGCTACCTCATGTATCATTTCCCCCTCCTCTTTTAGATTGTAAGCCCTCAGGGGCAGGGCCCTCCTTACCATCTTGTCTTGAATTGTATTGTGATTGTAACGTCTTCCTTATATTGTAAAGCGTTGCACAAACTGTTGGCGCTATATAAATACTATGTAATAATAATAATAATAATAAAGCTGAATCTGAACATAAATATCAATGTCTCCTGCTCCTCCAACCAATGCGGAAAGTAACGTTTGATTTATTAGGGGATGATGTAATACAAAGCATTACTTACCTTAATCCAGTGTCCAGTGGCAGTTGACGGCCCGTTCCTATGCTCCCAGTGGGCAAACGCTCTCATGCAATGCAGAACGGGTGGTGGCAACGACATTGTTTTTAATTTTATTTTATGTCCAGAGATATTATAAAAGTAGATGAGGCCATTGAAAACCATGATTATACAGTAGATGAATCTTTTTTTACGCAAATCTGATGCTGTCCAGGTAACAGAACACAGCAAACATAGGTGGTAAAACACTATTAATGAACAAGTGGGACACATGATCATGTTACCGCTCATCAGTCAGCTCTGTCTCTACTCCCAATGGAGTACAGTGGGTGTCAGCAGAGTCAATGTGGAGGGCAGTGAACTGGCAGAGTCAGCTGTCAATTAGGAAGCCAGGGTGGATTCCAACAATATTGCTGGGGACCTTCTCAACTGCAGCATGGCTCTGCCCCGTCAGCTGATAGCTGGCATTACCTCCGTACAGGCTGACTTGCAGTCAAAAGGAGTGTTTTAGTAAATGTACTCCTGTGACTCGACAGAGAAGTAAAACCAAAAGAAAGGTTTGCTTTACTATTCTTTTAAGACAGTTTTCACCAACATCTGTACTGTTTAAATGTAGTAGCTGATATTTCCCAGCAATATTATTATTATTATTATACAGGATTTATATAGTGCCAACAGTTTTCCCCTTTTGTGTTAAGTAAAAAAATAAGAATAAAAGGAAGACATTACAATACAATTCAAGACAAGATGGTCACAAGTAACTTAAAGGGACCTAGAATAGCACTTTATTTTCTAAAGTTTCCAAAACTAATGTTTAATATATTCTTTCATTTTTTGTTTACAAATAACATTAAAAAAATAACTATTTAACCCCTTCATGGCTGAGCTTTTTTTCAGTTTCTGTTCTTTAATGACTGACACACATTTAAAATTTTTGCTGTGTGATTCATCCGCGGCAGTAATATACTTTCTTACTAAGTGCACCCACACAATATATATGGTTTTTTAGAGGACAGATAGGGCTATATATTTATATTACATTTGTGTGCCTAATGCTTCACTTAGTATTAAAAAAATTGTTAAAAAATAAGGGGGAAAAAATTAAAGAAAAAACACTTTTACCCCAGTTTAGATTATTATTTTTTTAGAAAAATAGCACAGCTAATAAAAAAATGCATCAAAATAAAAAAAAAATGCATCAAAATAAATTCATTTATTTGGAAACACAGTTCAATAAACGTACAAGCCCATGGCACTCCTGACCGGATTAAAACCAAAAATGTAGGGTGGGAGCTTAAAGTGACAGCGGATGCCTCCGCAACAATGCCACAAAAAGTCACAAGCACTCCATTGTGTAGAACAGTCAAAATGTATTGACTTCCATAGTGTCACATCATCAATGGCGATGTTTCGAGACAACAAAGTCCCTTCCTCAGGATAAACAGGGGGGGGGGGGATTTATCAAAACTGGAGCAGACAAATTCTGGAGCAACTGTGCATGTCAATCAGCTTCTCACTTTCATTTACAAACCCTAACTGAACAAACTGAAAAGAGAAGCTGATTGGTTGCCATGGGCGACTGCTCCAGATTCTGTCTGCTCCAGTATGGATAAATTCCCCCCAGAGTGTTTTGCCTGAGGAAGGGACTTTTTTGTCCCGAAACGTCGCCTTTGTTGATGTGACACTATGGAAGTTAATAAATATTGACTATTTTTACACACTGGAGTGCTTGTGACTTTTTTTTTGCATTTTGTTATTTGGAAACACCTCACATTCCTAGGATTTCAGAAAGTTTCCTGTACTTCTCAGCCTAAAACAAAAAGCTCATATTTAAATGTTCTTCTCTAAAAGCCAATAGTGGTGTAATAGCAATTGTGAATGGATGTCACCATGACTGCTTCGTAATTTAAATTCATTTTTGGTGATTATTAAGCTGTCCCAAACTCAAGGACATCCAATAATAACCTTAGTGACACTGAACCTGACATGCACTGCAGCATGTCAGTGTCATAATCATGTGTCACTAAAGACTTCTGATCGTTGTAGCTGCTTGCCACAACTATCAGAAGCCTGAAACAGGCAGCTTTCGGCTTTAGGTGAATGCTTCTATGCTGAAACATTCAGCAAAATGCTGGTACAAATTCGGGATTTGCTAAGCCCGATGTGTATGGCTGCCTAACAGTGATAGGAAGTGCCGTTCACAACGCTGTGCTTCACAACACTGTCAGACACCCGATCACTGAAAGCAATCGTGTGTCTGACTGCTTAAAACATTTCATTAATGGATGCCACGTTAGCGTGGCATCCATTAATGAATGCTAATCGCTTATCTCATTGGTTTCCTGCATTCCGAAAGCATAAATAGCTGTGGACGTACAGTGTACATCCACAGTCATTTGGGCACTTAGTGACGGGGACGTAGAGTGTACATCTCCTGTTACTAAGGGGTTAAGGGAAACTATAATTGCTTTAGGTTCCTAAATTGAGGCTTCATATATTTTATCATTATTTGTTTGAAATATTTATTTTGCTTAAAACATTTAACGAAAATATACACACACACACACATATATATATATATAAGTGACAGTCTCATTGTCACAGGTCGGCTAGAACTATAAGGTGAGTGAAAAGCACTGACCGCATAGTTCTACTTTACCATACATTTTTAAGTAGCTTTGGATCGGCTATATACTAAAACACACATGTTCAAGTGTAATTGCCACAATAAGTAAGCCTAAACAACCTGACAACAAAGCCTGCTTGAGGAAATAATAGCAGGTAATAAAATGTAAAACGGCCTGCCTTCTGCAAGTTAGCAATAGACATCAGAGGACAGTTGGACACGTAGACATAATCCAACTAAAGATGTCGAAGTCCAGCTTTAGGTACAAACATAATGCTTGCATCACCCAAGTATTCATGAATATACTATGAAGCAGAGAAAGGATGAAGGGACATGCAGACATCTAGTTCCAGCATAACTTGGGGAGGACGCAGCAGATGGACAAGGTTATCCAATCTGCATGTTGCAGAAAGGTCAATATGCGATCCCTGAAGACTCATCTCTTCAGGGAAGTCTATCCTGCCTCAACCTAACCTGTGAACTATTACTTGCTCAAACAACTCATTACCCCACAGCTTTTATCTTCTGCATCACTTGCCCCTCTCTTTTAGATTGTAAGTTCTCCCGGGCAGGGCCCTCCTTACCACCTCGTCTTGATTTGTATTGTAATGTCTTCCTTACATTGTAAAGCGCTGCACAAACTTTTGGAGCTACATAAATCCTGAATAACAACAATAATATTATTAAA